AGTGTCCCAAAGTGGAAAGGCGCCCTCCCTCTCTCCACCCTTCCTTCCCAGCACTGCTTTGCCTAGAGGATTTCAAGGCCTCGGGCTAACACAGATCAGCTAAGGTGCCTGGGAAGTTAAGTAACCAACCGCAGGTCCCTGTCTCTGTTCGTTCAGTAACACAGACAGACACAAGGTTTACACACCCTTTTTGGCTTTTTATTGGGGAGAAAAAGCGTTAGCGTACAGAACAATTGCTCTTCACAACACAATGTAATACAACAGCAATAGTCACAACAGTAACGTATTTGTTTCTCCCAGGCTTCAGGGAGTCCTTGGGCTACCCTTATACCCTGCATGCATCCCCCCCCCCCCCCCCCCCCCCCCCCCCCCCCCCCCCCCCCCCCCCCCCCCCCCCCCCCCCCCCCCCCCCCCCCCCCCCCCCCCCCCCCCCCCCCCCCCCCCCCCCCCCCCCCCCCCCCCCCCCCCCCCCCCCCCCCCCCCCCTCACACCCACCCCCATCCCCAACCCAAGGAGGCACTCAGAGCTTCAGACAGCTCCTGTAGCTGTCACATCACACACAAAATATATTGAAGATCTGGGAAAGAAGGGAAAAGGTCAAAGGAAGTCCAGAGGCCTACAAACCAGTTTACTGCTCGTGCGCACTCTCCCTGGCTGAGGCTGCACGTGTTCAGAGTAAGAAGAGCCAATGGGGTCCGACAAGGCCTGTACCAAGGAGGGTTCCGAAATTTGAGGTACAGGACACCTGCCCTTTGCACTTCTCCACAAGCACAGGGTCAGCATGACCAGCATGCTGACATCAACAGACAGGGTCCAGAGCTTCGAAGAACGGTGTTTTCCCTTCTGGAACTCTCGCCTGAGGAAATAAGCTGAAAAACAGACACAGAACAAAGTCTTCACGTGGTGTTTTTTACTCCCGCCCCTGTGAGAATGGGAAAGCCAAACAACTGAAGTGTCTAACAGCTCGGGAGGGTGAAATGATTCCATGGCACACAGGTGACAGCCATTTCAGTCCCACTGTTGGCCCTCTAGCAGGATGACCTCCGCTTTAAGAAAGGGCAGTGAGAACCCACTAGAAGGAAATGAGCGACTGCTGCTTCTGCGCGATGCGATTCTGCATGTTTACACAAGGCTTTTTGTCCTTAGAGTGTTCTCTGCTTCCCAAATTTCCCATAATGACTATATGTTAACCCTTCTCTTGAGGGAAACCACTGTAAAAGGTAGCAACAGATTATAGGAACCCAGTGCCACTGATCTTCAGGCTAAGAAACAAAAGTAATAAGCAAACAGGCGTCTTACCTCTTGCAGATGAACAGAGATCTCACCCTAAACCAGTCTGAGGACTGGGTCTGTTTCCGATTCCTCTTCCTCAGGTTCCTTCCTCTGGCCTTAGGTTCAAATTCTAGGGCTGAGCTCTCATGGAATTTCCCTCCTGCTGGCCACAGACACTTGGGCTGCACTTGCCCAGCTGCTAGGCACTGTGCAGCAAGTTCAGTGTCCATGGGGACAAGTGTGGCCAGCAGTGAATCCGGCTGCCATTTTGTGGCCAGAACTGATAATAACACATGTGTGGCTTTCACCGCAAAAGCAGTATTTTCTGGACCCAACTGAACAGCAGATGTTCTTCTAAGGGCACCTAAATTTGTGCCCCAGAAGCCCCTGGAGTGTGAAGGAGGCAGTTACCCCTGAAGCTGGCTAACTAAAGTTCGGCAACAGGCCTGAGAGAGCCGTGGGGGTGTTGGGCAGCTGCACTGCACGGGTGCAGTCTCTAGTGAGCTAGCCCTGGTCTCTTCTCTCAGAACCAAAGACTCCTTAGAGTCAGAGGGGCTTGAAGAGCAGGGCAGCAAGGCCACCTCCACCACCTTGACGACACAGTCTGGAGACCAGAACTTAGCTGGGTGAAAAAGGCCATGTACCTAAAGCAAGAGTCACTCCTTAGGATGTCAAACTGAGTTGTGACGTTGCTGCCACCTCGGCCCCCCACCCCCCCCGCATCCCTAACACCAACCCTTTAAGGGAAAAGTGGCCAAAGCCTGTTCAAGGGTCGTGGTGCAGGAGTCTGAGGGAAGGTGATTCCAGCGCTCAAAGTGGAGTCAGGTTGCCACCATCAGGCCAAGAGAGCAAGTCTCAGTCACTGTCCACTGCACGTGTGACTTCGTGTTCTCGCTGCACTGGGTGTAAGGCAGTTTCCCTTTCGGGCTCTTCTGCTGTAACATGACAAGTATATACTTCTTGGTTCCATCCTGCTCATTGTCCAGGAAGTGGCCTCAGTGGCATCAGGAGGTTAATGTAGCCTGTCCTTTAAGTCATTGGGGCAGATTAGTGAGGCATTGGGTGAAGTCCTGACTAGTCAGAGTAAAACCGTAAGAACACAGGGCAAAGAACACACAGAGAGGCAAAGGCTGGGGACAACTAGAGGAGAGGACAAAGGTGACCAGTGCATTTACAAGAACAGGCCCAGAAACTTGCTCTCCAACTTGTGCAAGGACTGAGCACAGTACATGGCAAGAGGACAGTGACGACTGACCTCTCCCTTCTTAAGATGGCCTTGGTTGGGCACATTTCACTCCGCTGGTTGTGGTTGCAAAACAGTCTGGAATTCTACAGGTCTCCCTTGAATTCTTCAGGTCTGGAGCTTTCTTAAGGACTGGTCAGTAGATGTGGCAGGTACAGCAGCAATAGCAAGAGCAAGGGATGCGGTAGAAGGGTGTGTTCCCTGTGGCCAACTCACCAAAGGATTCACACGCGAATTCGGCCTTGAGCTCGGTGCCCCCCCTGTCTAGGAGTGAGGCAGAACAGCACTGAGGGATGCCTTCGCACTTGGTCTTGCTCCAAGTGACCTGCATGGTGAATCAGTGGTGGTGAGCTGTAGAAGGGAGAATTGGTATCTGGAAGGCCCTCCAGAAGTGGGACGCGATTTTGGCTCCCCTGTCTGCTCGGTTGCACTATGGAAGGTGCCACGCTCAGGTAATTCTCGGCATGGTAGCCTGTTGCAGAGCTCACGGTCTGGGTTGACGTGTCCACAAGGACAGGTTCTTCTATCTCCAACACCTCTCCATGTAGGCCATAATGATGGGCAGCAAGCGCATGCATGTGTAAGTGAATGCAGTCGTGCACATACACATGATCGTGCTCATGCTGGACCTCCTCTATCACTTGCTCCTCCTGTTCTGGAAGCAGGACCCTAACCTCAACTTCAGCTTCCTCCTCATATTTATCTTCACCGCCGTCCTCATTCTTCTTCATCTCCTCCTCCTTGTCTTCTTCATCATCATCCTCTTCCTCATCCTCCTCCTCTTCCTCCTCATCCTCATCTTCCTCCTCTTCCTCATCTTCCTCATCCTCCATCTCTTCTTCCTCTTTCCTCATCTCCTCCTCCTCCTCCCTCAGCTCCTGTGAGAAGGGCCTCCCCTGGTCCACCAGATAAAGCCTGTGCCCGCATGCCTGTTCACCCTCATCCTCATTCTCAATGTGGCACGCCACCACAGCTTCATTTCCATTCTCATTAAGAACTGGAGCCAAAGGGTAGAAGCTGCTCTGAACTTCAGGGAGTGGGATTGGCTTGGGGACCCGCACTTTTTTTTCTATCTCGGCGCACTCGAGAATCAGCTCATCCAGATCTGCAATTTCAGTTGACCAAAAGAGCTCCCTTCGGATACATTCTGACAAGCCTTTAAGGAACTGCTTTTGGAGGCGATTGTCATCCCAAGACAGGAACTGGGCCAAGAATTGAAAAGCATCTGCATAGCTGCTTAGGGTACAATCTCCCTGATTGAGCTTACGGATGGCCTTTTTAGCCACGCGTGAGGGGATGGGGCCACAGAATACCTTACGCATTTCATCCAGGAAGAGCGGGAAGTTGGAATTCAGGGAGCTTCCTTCCTGAGTGACTGAGATAGCCCAGTCTCTCGCTTCCCCTATGAAAAAAGAAACCAGAAAGGCCACCCGTTCCTCGCCCCCAGGGAAGTAATCTTCATGATCTGCTATGAATGTCTCTAGCTGCATCAGAAATTCAGCCATGTAGACGGGGTCGCCTGCAAATGGTTCTATGTCTGGCCGCTCAAGCGGTGGCAGAAAGACCTGTAGGGCCAGCTCTTTTGGCGCGGGGGAGTGCTGCTCCGACTGGGACAGGTTGGGTGACAGAGGGGGGTCAGTGGACTCATCGGGGTTGGAATAGTCCTGGACCACGTTAATCAAAAGATCATCTGAGACATCCTCGGGATCTGTGCGCGGAGGAGGCCAGCACAGGAAAGGCACCTCCGCTGCCTCCTCCTCCTCCTCCTCGTCCTCCTCCTCCTCGGGAGCGGGCTCGTTCTCAATGGGCGGGTACTCAAAGTTCTCCTCGGCAAGGACGGGCACTATGGGCACCGGACGGTGGATGTGGCTCGAGACACTGCCCCTCAAGGAATTAACCTCGGCCAAGGCTCTCCCGAGCTGCAGGCCCAGATGGGCATTCTCTCCTCGAAGGGCATTTAACTCCTCTTGCAGGGCCTCATTCGCCAAGCGGAGGCTATTGAGATTTCCCGCCGCATCTGACATCGTCACTAGTTCTTGGGGCTTTGAGTGTCCCGCAGTTGGGGGCAGGGAGTTACAGGGTCTGCGGGTGGAAGCAGAAATGAGGAGGTGGGCTCGGGAAGCTACCGAAGTGCAGCCAGAAGGCGACGGGGCCAAGCGAGCCCGAGCCACACCCACCCCGGGGACTCGGGCCCGGGACGCCTTACCTTGCTGCAGGGGTCGGAGAAGGCGGGCGGCGGCGCGGGTCCTGGAGGCAGCAAGCGCAGGACACGAGTGAGACGCTGGCAGCGGTGGTGCGGTCTGAAGCCGGCAGAGCGGGAGGGAACGGACTGCGGCAGGATCTGTCGAGGAAAAATCTTGCGGACTGCGAGCCCTCGCCTTTTAAGCGCCGCCAAAGAGCGCCCCCAGCAGGGGCGGGCCTTCGGGAACTGAGGGAGCCCACTGGCTCCGGCGGCTGCGCTCTCACTCACTCTCTCCTTCCCTAGCTGCAGCTAACTCGGGTCGGGAAAATGCGACAGCGACTGCCCACTCGAGGTCGTCATGGCGACAGCCAGTGAACGTGTTCCTCTCCTCGGGCAGGCCCCCGAGTGTAGAGGAACTGCTTCGCGAGGCGCAGCTCAATCTCCAGAGCCTGTTGCAAGGTACTGCGAGGGAGGGGGGCTGCCCAGAGGCGGCTGCGCAGCAGGAGGGGGGCAAAGAAGAAACCGGGAACAGCGAGAAAGAAAGAAAACAGTTCCAAAGCATCTCTCTTTTCACCTTCCAGACAGATGATGACTGTATTTCCGGGGCTGTTGCTCTCTCCCTCCCTTTTTGATTCAGTAGTCCCTAAGTGGAAAGCATACAGGCTGAGGCCAGGCAAGTCACAGAGAGGGGAGTAGGAGACCCCCTCAAAGGAGACACATATTCCCTCCAGCACTCCTGCCGTCATATCTCCCATGCCTTGGAGTTCTGGCACTAGAAAACAAAGGGTACATCTATAGGGTCTTCTAACCCGGACTCCACACACTCTGTACCTGTAATAACCTCCCAATCGCAATGAGGTTCTCCGTAGAAATCACGTCCCCAAGCTGGAGGTGTAGCTCTGTGGTAGCATGTGCAAGGCCCGAGACTGTAAGTCCAGCACCACTAAAAAAGGCCATCTCTTGCTACTTTTGAGTTTCTCTTACTACTCTTGAGTTTTTCGGGCACGCTGGACACAGAGCTGGACCCCCCTCCCAGAGGTGTCTAATGAATACTAAATGGACAAAAGGTCTTCTCAGTTCTTATTTCTCCATACCAGCAAAAAAAAATTTTCCTAAGTCGGATGCAGACTAGAAAATCCCTGATGGGCCTCCCAAGTGGGGTGCAGCTAAAACTCCTAATCTCTGCAAAGGGCAGTGGTTACCTTAGAGAAGCAAGATGCTGAGTGCTAACCATGAGCCCTGTGTCCAGCAAGGAAGAGGTAGAGTGCAGGGTGGAGGGGGTGACTGCACTGTTCTGACCATAGGCAGAATCCAGAATCTGGTAGGACTAGTGAGCAGGAGCTCAGGGAGAGCGCATTCCACCTCCTGACAGAGACGGGTTTTTCTCACATGCCCAGTAGCCACAGTCCAAAGGAAGGAGTGGTCTTCAGGTGTCTGCCCTGAGACTGAAAAGGCACCTGAGAGGGCTCCTGAAGAGGGGGCATAGACTAGAAACACTGGTGCAAAGAATGAGCCATGAGAGCAACAAGCCCCAGGACCAGAGTCAAGAGTCTGTTGAGCTCTTGCTTTCCTCGCCATTTCATCTAAGCCATCGCTTTGGCCAACCCTACTCCATCTTACACAATTTACCTCCTCTCGTTGGCTCGTGAACTTCGCTGTCTTCTATGCCACCACCTTCGGTTCCCTTCCTTTTCGCCTGCCTAGACCTAATCCCATCCGCAGTGGAACCAGACCTAAAAGCCATCAAGTATGAGTTCTTGCATCCAGGTATGGTGGCACAAGCCTGTAATTCCAGCACTCAAGAGACTGAGGCAGGAGGATCTTGAGTTCTGAGGCCAGCCTGGGCTACATGCAAGATTTTGTCTCACAGAAAACCAAGAAACCGTAAAGTTCTTGCGATCCAAGACAGAGTTCCAGACTGGACTTCTCAGTATGGGTCTCTTCTTGCTTCGTGCACATTGTTCCTTGGTAGCACTACAGAACACCCGAAGAGCTGCAGCGCCTCGGAAAATGGAACCGTTAGCAAAGGGTGTCTACATCCCGAGTCTTGGCTCTCCGTGCTGAGTGCTTAAGGTGGGGACCACTATAGAGGGCATGGGCCCCAAAGCAGCACGGCTTGGATTTACTGACTTCTTTCCTCCTCTGCCCTCATGGTCCTGGGAACCAAGCACTTTTCCATTTCTGAACCCAGTGGCCAGGAAATAGCTCAAAGAAGCAATATGAGTCAGGCTGGGCAGCTTAGTGTAGGAGCCTGGCTCATTGTTCTCCCCCAGCCTGGCACCTGGCTCCCTAGAGTGTGTCTCCACTATGCTATTTTTCAGAAGAATATGAGGAACAGTATTCGGAGGCCAGACTTCTGGGGCAGACCTTCCGCTCTTCTGATGAGGCCCCTGAGCCTACTGCCAGCCAAAGGCCCCAGTCTACCAAGCGTCTGGAGTTTGTATCGATGGTGAGTTGTCTCTTCCCCAACCTGGGAGAGCCAGCGTGCCCCCACCGGCAGGGCATCTTGAACTGCTTATGTGATCCCCTGGAAGCTACTGTTCATCACTGCGCACAAGCAGGGCTACTGCGAGGTCCCCCTGGGAAGGGCCCCGCACAGCAGGTGCCTAGCCAGGCACCCTGTACAGTGCTTTCCTGCCTTCAAGAGGACGCCTCCAACCACTCTGCCTAAGCAGTCATCCTATGGGCACCAGCTCCTCCATCACACCCTCTCTCCCAACAGCCTGCAAAACGGCAGCTGAGCGAGGATGAGACCACGACCCAGGGTGTGAGGGCCCCCGAGGCCTGCCTGAGCCTGTCTACAGCCGACAAGCAAACTGCCTGGAATGGCCCCTTCCCTCTGCCCATCCTAAAGGAGAAGCGCTGGCTTCAACCCTGCCCCACGCAGTCCGACCTTGTGCCCATCAACATCTCTGGTAGAGTTGCTTAGCACCGCCTGTTTGTTTCCCTCCTGCCAAAGGCCCATCCTCTCCGAATGCTCTGGGTACTGGGGAGGGAGGGCCACTCTATCTGCTGCTGACCAGGTCATAACTCCCCCGGGAGTGGAGGGGACTTCGGGAGCCAGCTGAAGAGGGGGCGATGGCTCCTCTTCCCTCACTCCCTATCTGCAGTCACTGTAACTGATACCATGGAATAGCGAACAAAAAGTTTCTTTGCAGAATGTGCCAAAAGTTTTCTGAACGTGGGTTTTCTTTTGAGTTTAAGTGAAAACAAAGTTTGAGAATTTTGTTTGTTTCAGGTAAGGATAATGTTAGAAACCCAAAGTTCTGGGTTTGGAATATACAAATAACAGCCAGAAGGAGATGAGAATCCGAGCGCATGTGCTTTAATGGTAGTGTAACAAGAGAAGGGCACAGAAAGGGCACACGGGGGAAAAAAAGAAAGAGCCACAGGAGGCCCAGGATGTCCTTGAGAGTAGTGGTAGGGGATACTTGCATCTCTCTTCGTTTTGTTCTCCATTGCTGCGACAAGGAACCCTGACAGAAGCGACTTAAGGGGGCGGGGAGCAGGAGTATAGACCGGTTCACAGTTCAAGGTACAGCTCGTCAAAGGCGGCAGGAACTTGGAAGCAGCGAGTCTCATTGTCTCCGCAGACAAGAAGCAGAAGACAGTGGCTACTTGCTGCTGCTCAGTTCTCCTTTCTGCGTCTCTAGGGTCCAGGATCCCCTGCCCGAGGAATGGTGCCATCCACAGTTAAAGCTGGGTCTCCTCCTTTCAGTTAATGCCCAGAGGCACATCTCCTGGGTGATTCTAGGTTCTGTCAAGTTGACAGCGCAATCACAGTCTCCGGGTTGGGGTCGTGTGGCATTTTTGCTTCCCACTCCAGTGGCTGGAAAGGAACAGGGCCAGTCCTATCAGGAACCCCTGCAGGGCCCTGATGGAAGCAAGACGTCAGTAATCTGAAGGGACCGGAGGAGGCCTTGACTAGCATGGGCCCTGCTGTGGTGGAAAAGGTCGGTGAGAGCAGTGAGGGTAGCTCTGTCTCGCGTGACCATGCTCCCCGGATCTGGCTTCATCCACCGCCCCTAGAGTCATCTTGAGGAAGAGAGACAGGAAGTAGAGCTCATTTGCCAAGGGAGGGAAAACTGTGCTGGGAGATTCGCAAAGCAACACTGATGCGCTCTGTCTAAATGGCTGTCTCACTTTCGGGCTGCTCTTGACTCTGTCCTGTGCAACCATTTGCTGGGATGGGGCTGCAGTGAGTGGTGTGACTGGTGGGGGACGGGTCCTGCTTAACCAGCCACTAAGCTAGAGACAGGGCGGGGGAACTGCCTGTTTAGCCCCATGGATCTCCTCACCCTGACTTTGCCCCCTACAGATTCCCAGAACTAAAAGCTGACCCAGCACCTTAAGAGAATTAGACAGGGTCCAGTCAACACCAACTGCCAGTTTTGGTAATATGGCCAGGTAGCTGTAGGTCAGACTATCCGGCTGCTTCCTAACCGATGGGATCAGTAGGAGCGCTTCTTAGAGATGCCGTTTTCACCTGGTCCCTGTGACGTCAGTCTGGGCATGATGGCACAAATCTGTAATCGCAGCACTCTGAAGGCAGAGGCAGGGTGATGAGGGCAAGTCCAGCCTGGGTAACCAAATGAGTCCTTCACTCACAAAAAACCACACCCAGGAGTACAGGGTGCATCTCAGTGGTCGAGTACTTGCCTTGAATATAAAAGGCTCCAGATTCTGTCCCCAGCACCACAGGAGAAACCCTGTGATCATAATCAAATAATGCTAGCCCCGGACCATCTCTCCACAAGCAGTGATGCTCACCCCTGGCTATGCATCTGAAAAACCACCCAAGGACTCCTAGGCAATGCTTCTACCTAGGCCCTCCTCCCAGAAAGTTGAATGTTCTGGAGTTCAGATTGTGGAGTTTCAAAAGCTACCCAGTTTATTTCAGTGGGGCTGAAAAATACTGCCCAGTGCACCTAAGAAGTGCAAATGAGCTGGGTGTGGCCTGTAAAACCAAGAGTGTGTACCCAGCACGAACGGGGGGGGGGGGGAAGGGGAGGGGATGCGGGAAGAAGTACCACCTTCCTGGATGCTGCTGTTCATGCTCATCGCTACTGCCGTCATCCTTTCTCTCTACCTCGGGCCAGTTTTCACTGTGCTTTAAACAGAAACCAGGATGCACCCAAGTGTCTTTATTTTGGCTACAGGGCAGCAGTTTGATAGACATGCAAGTTTTCGACACTCGTTGTTTAACACAGAGACAGCCGTGAACCCCAAGTCCACCCTGAGGCGGAGGCGGACCATTATTGGATTCTCTAACTTTTCTCAGCGAGACCCAGGTGACCCCAATACAGTTGATTCCCTCAAACCCTTTCCCCATCTCCCACTACTCCTGTCATGCGAGTGCCATTGCGGCAGTGGGGACCCTGAAATAATTCTGGGTAGAGGGGCTTTGAATATCCTGAGAAAGCCAATGTGTGATTAATGTCAACCAGGGGCCCTTGGCAAGACCAGCGATTGAGTCTGGAGGGCAGGGATCTCGGGCTAATAAATCCACCACATCCTTGTTTTCCATTACAAATGTACTGTAAATTAGATATGAAGTACACACCTTTAATCCCAGCACTCAGTAGCAGAAGCAGGAAGATTATCTCCAGTTTAAGGCCAGCTTGGTCTCCATGAATTCTAGCCCAGCCAAAGACTACATAATGAGGTCTTATCTCAAAAAAAAAATAATGTTACCACATATGCCAAATTTATGCATAGAAGTGGGGAATCATCCCCCGAATTGTAATCTTGTATTGACCCAATACAGTCACTGTAGTAACTAAAGATAACTGTGTAGACTGCCTGCCATGTGCCTGGGATATAGTCAATATTCAACAAATTCTGGCTATTATGAATTACCATGTCCGTAAGGTAGCAATAACAGTAATGTTAGACTAGCTGTGGATGTGAGAACACTTCTGGAGATTGGAACATCTGAATGGTGTCACATCTGTGAGTTACTCTAAGTCTTTTATGTTCAAAGGCAAAAGGTGGCAGATGCCAGAAATATAGCATTCTGGCAAAGTCCAGATTCATGGCTGGGGCTGTGAGCCACATGCTCCTGTGGGCTCTAGTCAGTTTAGAAATTTCTGCTCTCACCTCAGGCCTGACGACCCCTGAGATCTGCTGGTTCCGTGAACCCAGGGAGAAAGAAAGTATGGGGGGAAACCCGAGGTAGTCACATGTGACACTTGTACTCTGAAAAAAGACGTCAAAGCTGGAAAGTCTTTGGCAGCCATCTGGCCAATCCAAGGGTACCCCGTGACTCACTGTGTGGCGATGGGCAAGATCCCAACTTCCCCTAGTATCCTCATCTGTGAAAAGGAAGAACCAAGGAATTCTGACAAAGCTGTTGGCAATGCTGCTTGGCACAAAGCTGGTGTTCTGGTTATAAACAGCTGACGGGGGATCCCTTGCTGTAGCAGTAACATGTGTTTTCTATCTCCAGGGCACAGCACCAGCCCGGTAGGCAGCCTGGCCTCAGACATCAGGCCTGGCCACTCGGCTCCACAAGTTGTTCAGGGAAGAGTTGCTATTGGGCAGGAAGCTCGGTTTCCAAGTCTCACCTCGCCAGGACTGAGACACTCATCGAGTGAGCCTGCAGACCCTCACCAGGCACGTGGTGGCCCAGACCCTCCTGGTACGGAGAGCATGGCAATGGTGTACAGTGTCCCCAGTTCTTGCAATGGACCAACAGAGTCAACGTTCTCCGCTTCCTGGAAGGGAGATGCTTTCACATACATGACTCCAAGTGCCAGCAGCCAGAGCAATCAAGTCAGTGAAAATGGAAAAAATCCTTCCTCTGGGAATTCTTGGGTCTCTCTGAACACACTCCCACCTCTGGTCCCTAAAGAGGCGGCTACCCTCTTTGTCACCCGTGATAACCCAGCAGGATGCACTGGGTTACCCAGCTACTCTGAGCACCCCACTCAACGAGGGCAAATACCAGAAAGACCTCCCAAGATTGGCCTCCTGGCCCGTGGTACCTCAAGACTGGAAACAGGCCCAGGTGGAACTAACAGATTCCGGGAGCGGTCACTTTCTGTGCCCACGGACTCAGGTGTCACCTCAGTGGACTATGGTGAAGAGCAGAAGAAGGCTGGTGAGGCCTGCATCCTGCCTTACGCCAGTGCAAACTCTGAAGGCAGTAACAGTACCGACAACATTGCAGCCCTCAGCACTGAGCAAGAGGCGCAGCACAGGAGACAAAGATCCAAAAGTATTTCACTCAAGAAGGCCAAAAAGAAGCCCTCTCCACCCATGAGAAGCGTCTCACTAGTCAAAGATGAGACAGTCCTCCCACCAGAAGGTGAATTGGCACTGCCCAAGGACCAGAGGCCCAGGAGCCTTTGCCTCTCCTTGGAACACCAAGGGAACCATTCATCTCACCCAGATCCTCAAGGTCATCCATCTGGGCCAACTCTCAAAGATCCAGAAGGTTCACAGTTCTCTCACCACTGGTATCTTACTGACTGGAAGTCTGGTGACACCTACCAATCCTTGTCCAGCTCCAGCACAGCCACTGGCACCACAGTCATTGAATGCACTCAAGTTCAGGGAAGCTCGGAGTCTCTGGCCTCCCCTTCCACCTCCAGAGCAACAACACCCTCCCAGCTCTCCATTGAGGTGGAAGCCAGGGAAGTAGCCTCTCCTGGAAGGCCCACTGGACTGATGTCCCCTTCCAGTGGCTACTCGAGCCAGTCAGAGACACCCACACCCACTGTCTCCATGTCCTTGACCCTGGGCCACTTACCGCCTCCAAGCACCAGTGTCCGAGTACGTCCGGTGGTACCAGAAAGGAAGTCATCACTGCCCCCGATGTCACCAATGGAAAAAATCTGCAAGTCACGGTTATCATTTGACCTACCATTGAGCTCTTCAACCACCCTGGATCTGTCAGGGATGAGTATCTCCATCCGCAGCAAGACCAAGGTGAGCCGCCATCACTCTGATACCAATTTTGGAGCCAAACTGGCGCAGAAAACTAGTCCAAACCAGCCAATCATGCCCATGGTTACTCAGTCTGACCTCCGTTCTGTTCGCCTGAGGTCAGTCAGCAAGTCTGAGCCAGAAGATGACATTGAGAGCCCAGATTACACCGAGGAACCTGGAGCAGAAGAAGTCTTCACCTTGCCGGAGAGAAAAGTGAAACCTCCCATAGCTGAGAAACCGCCACTGGCCCGAAGGCCTCCAAGCTTGGGTCACAGGCCACCCTCGCTCCCTGGGGAGTATCCACTAACTTCTCCTACTATGGCTATGACACCCAGGAGCTCCGTTCCACACGTGAAGCAGCTCCCCCAAGACAGCTACACAGTGTTGCGGAAACCAAAGTCACCTAGCTTCCCCAGTGGCAGGAGCCCTGGGGAGTCTACAGCACCCTCCACCCTTGTCTTCACACCTCTTGCCAGTTCCTCTGGTGCTTTCTTCTCAGGAACACAGCAACCTCCCCAGGCCAGTGTAGAAGATGGGGGCCCCAAGGTGAGAGCCCTGCCAGAAAGAATCAGCCTCCAGAGCCAGGAAGAAGCTGAGAAAAAGATGAGCAAGATTCCACCTCCTGTACCAAAAAAGCCCAGTGTGCTCTACCTGCCTCTCACCCCCCCTGTAGCTCAAATGGATGCCGGTATGGCCGAGCCAAGGCTGCCTTTCAGCCCCATCATCACCTTAGAGGAAGATACCAAGTGTCCCTCCACTGAGGATGACCCGAAGTCACCTGATAAGACGATGACTTCCACTCTTCCTGTTGACGGTGAAAAGGAGGCCGTCTCTCCAGGTTAGTAAACTGTCTTGGCTTTGCCCTTCAGTTGCAGGAGGGATGAGGGTGAAGCTGGAGTTAACTCTGGAAAGACAGAGCAATTGCCCCAGCATGACCAAAGCAGTAGGGAGCGCATCTAGAGGGCGTGAGTTAACTCTGTAAAGGAACTGCCAGTTGGCCTTACTGTCCAGGCGATCAGGACTGACCCAGGACAGATCCCCAAGGCTAAGTCTGGACAATCTACCCTTGGCACAGGCACCACGATAACAAATCAAACAAAGCCTTAGCAAACTGGGACTTCCCGACCGCATCGGGCCAGTCAGGCATGCAGCCCTTGCCCTGGGACTCCCACTCAGTCGACAATAGTTTTCATTAGTCAGACTAAGTTAGACTAACACTCGGGACTCAGTATTCCGGAAGTCCTCGTCCAAGAATTCTGGAAGGCTCGTGGGACTCTAAAATGATGACCTGCACACTTTTCCAGTGTTTTCCACAAGAAAAGGCACAATCTTCCTTGGAAGGTTTGATTCTAACTCTTCCTGGACCCATAAGAGTAAGCTAGTTAATGATTCTTCACTTTGGTTGGTGTTGTTTCTGTGGCTTTTTGTTTTAATTGTAAGATACACACGACACTTATATTTTAATCACTTGCCTATGTGGCCGGCGGTGGGTGGGGCACAGGCTGTGTTGAGTGTCTTTGGCTCTCAACCTTTACCCTGTCTTTTGAGACAGTCTCTACAGGAATCAGAGCTTTTTTATTGGCTAGATTGGCTGGCCAGCAAGCCCTGGGCATCCACCTGTCTCCACTCCCCCAGATCTGGATCATTAGGGTTATAGGCATACACAAGAGTGTCAGTACCAGGGATCCGAACTCCATGCTTGTATGGAAGGTGATTTACCAACCAAACTACCTTCCTGGCACCAACTCCTTTTTTTTTTTCTTTTTTTGAGACAGGGTTTCTCTGTGGCTTTGGAGCCTGTCCTGGAACTAGCTCTTGTAGACCAGTCTGGTCTCAAACTCACAGAGATCCGCCTGCCTCTGCCTCCCAAGTGCTGGGATTAAAGGCGTGCACCACCACCGCCCGGCTACCAAATCCTTTTTTGAGACAGAATTTCACTGTGTTACCTAGGTTGGCCTGAAAGTCACAATTCTCCTGTCTTAGCACTTCACCCCCAAATGTTAAGATTGTAGATATGTGCCGCCATTCTGGGCTTAATTTTAGCCATCTTGAGCCATGCAGTTCGTTAGTGTTTAAGAACATTCATGTTGAGAGACCCATCTCTAGAATGTCTTTTATCTTGAGAAAATGAACCCTTTCCTCCACTTCATCCCCTCTTTCCTCCTCTTTTCCTCCCCCTTTCCTCCCTCCCCCCCCCATAACCACAGGTTTATGGCTCTGACTGGTCTGGATGCCGAGTGGAGTCATAGATTTGTTGTCTTTTTTATGACTTTCTTATTTTTATTAATGTCCTCAAGGCTCAACTCTGTCTCGCATCATTTTTGAACCCTTAATGTTAAACATTAAAATCTCATGGCCTTCTTTAAACTGGTTTAGACTTTCAGCATAAGTTAATCACTGTGACGAAAGCAAGTGAGCATGTCAAAGCCACAGGTTATTTCCAAATATGCTTCCTCCAGCTCCCCAGGCTCCCTCCGATTCAAGCGAGTCTCATCCCCCACTGGGCGAGGATAATTGCTTTACCCTTCTCTCAGTATCTTGAGTTTTTAATTATGTATTTATAACAAGGGGGCTGGGGATATAGCTCAGTGCCAAAAGAGCTTATCTAGTGTGTTCCATCCCCAGCACTGTTTTTTTTTTTTAATAAATAAGAAAATGAGCATGCTCAGATGACCTGTATTAACGAAAAGTAAGCATGAGAACAGGGATTTGGGCCAGTCTTCACCATGGGGGCATTGAAAGGCCTGGGGGTAAATCATTAACCTTCTGAACTTCATGTTCCTCCTGACAAGATGGAGATATGAAAAGGCGCTGCCCTGCTGTCTAGCTAGATTGCTTTGAACATTGAGGGGAATGGCAAGAGAGCATGTGCCCTGTCCTAACTCTCATGGCCAAAGTCATGCCTTTTGGTTCTTATACCTAGGGAGGACTGTGGAACCAAGTGCCGAAGAGAAAAGTTTAATCAGTGATAAGACAGCCGAATGGATCTCAGAGGAAGACGATGACGTGTTTGTGGCTTCGCGCACGACTGAAGATTTATTTACTGTGATACACAGGTCAGGATCCTTTTCCTTCATTATAATTGCAATTGCTTTCCCCTTTTCTGCTTAAAGAAAAACTGCTGCCTCTGAGCAGCCGCTGGAATTGCAACTGGAGATTCAGTTCAGTACCTACCTACGTATGTGAGCGCAGTCTGGGGCCTCACATCACAAATTCACTGATATCTTTGGTTGAAGCGGGGGAGGAAGGGAGGACCAGGTGCTGAGAGAGGCCCCTCGTCTCCTAGCAACTGCTTGGCCTATTGTGTCTCCATCTGCTGCCTCACAGCTCTATCTGCAGAGAGAGACATTTAACCCTTCATGGAACTTCTTGTACCACAGAATTCTGTCACGAGGTGATACAGAGCACCGGACAACATATGAGACCAGGGACTCAGGCAGAGGGGGAACAGAGGTGGGCATCAGGGCATGAGGTAGGGGCTTGTAATGAGGTCCTGGATCCACGAGCCCAGTTACTGGAGCTGGAGCAGCAGCTCAAATCAGTTCCAAATCCCTGGCTGTCTTGATTCAGTCACTGACCCTTTACATTTGTTCTTGATCTCAGAACTGACAAGGACTGAACCTGTAGCATAGGGCAAGTAACTCCAGTTGTGGCCATTGAAAAGCATGTGGGGAACAGAGGGGCCCCCAACGGGCTTGGAAGCACGGGGCTGTCATATGCATGATCTTGAGCACATCCCTGGTTGTCAGTTCTTCAGAGCTTTGCTAGCTGTCTGCTCCCTGAATTTCCTGACTTCGCTCAGACCAGTCTTTCCTTCGTTTAGGTCCAAAAGAAAGCTCCTGGGCTGGAAAGAGCCTGGGGAGGGCTTCCCGGGCAGCAGACCCAGCTCCCACTCACCAGTGAAGAACACAGCTGATTCTCCCACCACTGAGTCTGCTGCTGCCACAGGGCCAAGTGGCAGTGCCTGCCTAGACGCTGGCAGAAATGATGATTTCAAGGCCCTGCTCCAGAAGAAGGGAAGTAAGGCGACTCCTAGGACCCGCCCCTCAGCGGCCGAGCTGCTCAAGACCACGAACCCTCTGGCTCGAAGAATCATTGCCGAGTTCTCAAAAGACTATGAACCCACTGACAGCCCCAGTACCTAAGCCCTGCTTCTTATTCACTAGGTCTGAGGAGAGCAGGGGAAAGAGAGAGGGCTTCAGAAAGGAACCAACCACAGGAATGACAAAACATTCTGTCTTTGACATTAACTCATACTCTGGACAGCAGAGAGGCCAACACAACACACCTGTGCTCCCCAGGCACTCTGATAGGCTTCAGACCATCTGCGTTTCCATGCTTACCATGGCTGATCATCGGTGTTCTTAAATTCTCCCAGCGCTGTGCAGTAAGAAGAGATCCTCAGATTTGGGAGCCCGTATGCCAGCTTTTTCAATGTCCTGGCTGTTTTGTCCATTGGCTCCTGTTGCTGAAAGGCACGGTGGGAGAACAGATCGGGGACCTTCCAAACCAGGGCTGGGGACAGAGGCACCAATCCCACTGCTGATTATCTCCTCTCCTGGGGTGGCTTTGATGGCCCTATGTGAAAACCCAGACAGACACCGAGGCCTCCTCAACCCCAGAGGGAGCTCTGCAGGAGGCGTGCACTAATTTCAGCGTGGGGTTGATTGGATGGCTTCTGTGGTGCAAACATGAGAGTGACTGTCTAAAACTCCATGCCTTTTTCAGTTTGATTGTCTATGCGGAGATCAGGGTGATGAGTTTCAATAAACTTCTAGGATTTCCCCCTCCCCCATTAGCTAGAAAAGATGGGACTGGGTGGCTTTGGCTGAACCAAGCTTTGCAAACGAACGGGACATTTGTTCGCTTGCATCTAGCCAAGGTAACTCGCATGCGCGCCTTGAGGTCATTCGAGTGTCTGTCAATGTGGGTAGCCAGGATCTGTGCCAAGCTCATGCTGTAGACTCCAAGAACTCTCATTTCACTCGCATGTAACATTCATTACAGGAAGTAATTAGGCGAAGGACTGGCATCATCCGAGGCTCCAGGAGTAGAACGGAAATGTACCTTGCCCCACACCGTTCGATTCAGAGTGTGCTTTTTTGTGGTTCTTTGGGTTTTTTGTCAAGGAAATCTGACTCTGTTTCAACGATCAAGAACCTGTAGACTGAAAAAGATCTACGTTAAATCAAAAAGAGAGCCCATAATTCAAGAAGGCTACGTTTTGCCATTTAGGTACTGCTGTTTGGCCAACTTTCAGCTTGCCACGGCAGGGGGGCGGGGGGAGCAGCTAGGATAAAGAGGATACTGAAAGAGTTCCAAAACAATCACAATTACCCCTTCCCTTCCAAAGCCAACAGGCACGGGCTGTTCTTGTCAACTCGACTTTGTAAGTAGAGCAAGAGCACCTGATCTCCGAACACCTGCTTTCCGAGGGGCTGGGGACAAACTGAGCAGAGCACTGAACAGAGAACCTGCTGGCCAGTGTTGGGAAGTTCTTTGTCTTCTGCCCCCAAAGGGCCCAAAGGAACTGAACTTGTAGTGTGCTTTGCAAAAAACAAACAAACAAAAATGGGCTTTGACTCATCGCCCGCACTCCCTGCGCTAAAACATTCCTTGCTCAGTCTCCCGGAGGAAGCAGTAAGGAGTCCATTTTGATAGGTCACACTCCTCACCAAGGAGAAGCAAACTGTTAGCTCTACTGCCCACACTCCAGCAAGGCAAAGTGGCTGCAAAACTACCCCGAGTACTGAGAGGACTCGGGTCTCTGGCGTAGAAGTCCTAGGCTGAGGCCCTTGCTTGGGTGGCTCTAGTTCCGATTGGTCAAATTCTAGACAAATGGAAAGAGCTCAAGCTCGCCAGCTCTCTTCCAGCTAGCACTTCCCTCTCGGGTCTAGAAAGAAGCCACTTAAATAATCAACAGTTAGGGGAACTCTGGAAGCGCTTAAACCAGTTAACATGAAGATCTTCTAAGCCAAGTTTCACGAGTCAGACCGGAATGCGGGATATACACTTTGAAGCACCGCACCTGGGAGACGGAGACAGGCAGACTTCTGTGAGTTTGAAGCCAGCCTGATGTACATAGGTAGTTCCAGGATGCCAAGGTTCCATATTGAGACCCTGACTTCAGTCTTGGCCTTGGTTTATACATAACTACCACACCTGACTTAACTCAGAATTCCAAAAGACAGAGGCGTTTTCCTCTGTAGGAAAATGAAGGAGTGGAGTGCCCTTGCTTCTGCCTATCAGGAGAAAAAGTTCCCTGGGTCTGCTCCACAGAACCGTTATGAATCAATCATTGAATTCTAAAGTTTGAGCTGTATAGGGCTTGCTACTTTTGCTGATGATTTATTTGAAGTGTCTTGTTTGTTCCTTCTCATGGGTTTGGCCTCTCCCCTCACCTTGCTACCTCTGGAGGTTCCCCCCAAAAGATTCTAAACTGAATGCTTGACTGCTTGAGGTTGTTTCAGTGACCTGAACCCCTGCTCTCCTCTATACGACTATGTATGCCTGGAATGTTTAGAACATTTCCTTGTCACTATGACCCCCAGAAGCCCAACTAGCACAAGAGATTTGGGGCAGAGGCTTTACAGTCAGTGGAAACACTTTGGACTGGGAGTAGTCGTTCTGTCCCTCCAGGCTTGGCAGGGAGTAGACCTAGTCCTACGCAAACAACCAGATTGTTAAATAATAATAGTAACTAAAAACAGTCATTGATTAGCACAGCACCAAGCATCTTTCTGAATACTTAACCGCTCTCCTGTTCCTATTATCATAAACATTATCTCTCTCCCCTGAGGACAATGTGTGCTGCCCAGGAGGCTGGATTGGGAGGGGGACCCCTTTCAGGAAAGTCTCAGGGAGGTTGCTGCCACTGCTGTGACACACGGCACATGGAAAGAAAGAGAGGGACCTCTAAGGCTGGCACACACACAGTGAGTCGGAGGGAAATGAAAGGGGGTTCAGGTGGTCAGCCTCTGCTTCAGGCTCTTCCTATCCCCTTGTTTTCCTCCAGCTCCAGCCCTCAGTGGCAGGTGGCCCTGTTAGAAGAGCTTTGGTCCAGTCAAGGGTGGGGGGAGACCCCCCCAGAGGCAGTTAATGTGTACCTACGTGCTTTGCATTTGGTGGCTATGTATTTGTGGTTCAAATGTGAGTGGCGGAGAGCATGTTGGTCTTAATACAAAGGCTGGCTTTGCTTGTGGATCCTCCCCGTTGCCTGTACTACTGGCCTGCCTGGGCCTCTCTCGCCCTCCTGGCTCCAGCTTGTCTTTCAGTCCTAACACCCAGGAACTGCACCAACGAGACCAGCAGCTCAGCCACAAAGGAGTCAAGGCCTCAGGCAGCCAGTTCATTCACAGTAGCCTCACGACCACAAGGTTGATCTGGAAAAAAATGACCTTGAATGTACAAAGACGGGCAAATCTCCAAGGTTCCCCCAACAAGCATTCTGCCTGGCATCTACGTCATCAAGACAACAGAGATCCAGTTGTGTACCTGTCACTCTGAGCAGATCTCCCCAGGCACCCGCCCCCTCCTCACCTCCGAACCAGTCAGGAAAAAGACTCGGTACCACTCAGTGCTCTGTTGCTCACTACTTCCGCCCTCTGTGTTTGCCAAGTCTGTGGCATAATGGTGAGCTTTTCCTTTGCTATGATTTGCCAGGGCCAGGATTAGGGTGAGGCGATTGGGGAGACGCCCCACTCTCAAGGCCCCCGCCAGTGCCTTACCCTTGCCACGGCCCTGTGATTTGCGCTCTGTAAAGTAGTATGAGTTGCTCTTTCTTCCTCTGAGTGTAGTTCTGATTTGGGGGCAGGTTTTGCGCCAAATGTTTTCTTGCTGTTTCTCCATTGGTTGCCAGCAGCCTTTATATGCGTTAAAGAATCTTCAGTATTATCACAAACATTTCAGCTGGCAAGTTAGCGCCCCGTTCAGGAGGAGCACGAGGGCCAGAGAACTTCAACAGGAAGTTGAGGTCTGCCCATGTGGCCTTCTGTCTGCTCTTTCTGCTCCCTTCTCCCTTGTAGTCCTTGTGGCCCAGCACCGATTCTCCTCAGTGCCTCCTACTTCGTTCTCCTCCTAAGAAAAACATGCTCTCAGGAAAGGGATGAATTCATTGACTCTGAGACTGGGAGGCTTCATGCTACCTTTTTCGAGGGTTGCTTGCATTTTAACAGGGGAACAGCCTTAAGCCAAAGGAATGAAGTCCTTGCAGAATGTTAGATGTCACCTAGTTGTACAAGTTCTTTTTCACCGTGGAAAGACCAGACTCCCTGACAGCTGACTCCAGAGGATAGAACCTCTGGTCTTCTCCTGGAATCATTGGAGTTAGTAGCTGCTGGTCAATTATCTAGATAACCCTGTGCTATTTTCCTACCAAGGGATTCTGAGAAAAAGCTACTTACAAGCCTCTGAGAAGGCCTAGATCAAGCACTCCTATTGTACATTAACATGTTTGTGTAAACGGTATTAATACTACTTACCACTTAGGTAAAAGACACAAAGATTTAACAAGTTTGTGAAGTGTGTCCTGTTTGTGCAAGGTGACTCGGCCGAGTCCACTTCTTACCGATGTCAGTCGTCCAGTATCAGTGGTGGTTATTAAACTGCGTGGGGGCCTAGTTACTAAGCACAGGCCTCCACTACCCCTCCTGCGGTTCGTCTCTGTGGTGCGCTATGACTCCAGCTTGGTGTGAGAATGAGACCTTTTCTAAAGCAGAGCCCCAGTCCCTAATGCCTTTGCATGTATTCAGCTCTAAGTGACCAAGATAGGAAGGATTTAAGAGGACAAGCGAGTAGGAAAGAGGTACAAAACAGTGCCTTTGTCATAAGTCAGCAGACAGTGTGATGACTTTCACGTGACTTGAAACAAGCAAGTCAACTATTTTAAAATACTTTGAAATCAGTTTGTAGAGGACTATGGTTGCGAGTGGTTTTTGAACACATGTTGGAGGCACTTTAATAAGTTTAGCAAAAAAGAAATTTGCCTAATGAAGACTGTGTGAAATAAATATATACCTTTGTTTGGTAAAGGCCCAAATCTAGGCCACTGGTTCTCAAAGGATGGTCTTGGAATCACCAAGAGCAACATATGAGAGAAGGAGGGGGAGAGACAGAGAGAGAGAGGTGTCACACCTTTAAGTCCTCTGAATCGCCAGAGCCACGCCTCTCTGCAACAGGTTACCTTTCTGACCTTTAGTTACAGTTAGCAGTCCAGTCTCTGGCAAAGAAGCATGTCTAGCATCTTCTTGCTCCGCTACACATTTGTCTGGCGTTAAGAAAGTGTCAGATTGAATCAGGCCCATCTGGCCTGGTTTGGGATTTTAAAATAGTAACAACAACAACAAAACCTGTGGTGGTGGTGGTGATGGTTGCATTTGGTAGGACCAGTCCTTAAATGAACGTCCTCACCACCGTGATTGTTCTCTCGGAGGGCTCTTGCAGAAATGGATTTGCTTCTGAGGCTCTGCCTGAAGGCTAAAGTGTGGCATTTGATAGTAGTGATCTCCCCCTACAGGGAAACAAACACCTAAACCAGAACAACCAGTTAACCCCTCTCAGCCTCTTTGTAATGCTAAGCTTTATAGAAATTTATTCCGTATGTGGTCTTGAGATTTTCTATGTCCAGTTTTATAAAATGTTCTGCATGCCAATACAGCATTGTGGTCACGTCAAAGCCATTCCTCCTCCGTGTGTGTGCTGGTGAAGAAATACCAACATGTATGTTTTGATGTTTCCTGATCAACTGTAAATTACATTTTCATTAATTTTTAATTGAGATATATTTACTCTGGCTAACAGTTAAAATTTTATTCTTTTTATTATCTTTCATTGCTACTTTTTTCTACTGATTCCAAGGCTTACTTTGGGGGGAGAATTTCTTATTTCTAGATTGTTGTATCTCTTATTTCTATATTTATCTATAATCACAGAGTGTAAGAGCTGAAAGGGACCAATCTCCCTCGTTTCATAGAGGAAATTAAGGCCCAGATGGGTCAAACGGCTTGCCGAAGGTCACACAATGAGTCTGAGGCAGGGCCCAGCCTCAATTCTAGGTTGCCTGCCTCTGGGATGAATGTTTTATCATTTAAATCAGTATATTTATGAAGGACCCATGACTGGCTTCTACTTGTCTGGCTCATTAATTTCCCAGGTATTTCAGTGAAAAAAAATCTATATGCTTTAAAAGGAACGCTTTGTTCTTCAGTTAATGAATCCAAAGAAAATCTGGTTTTTAGTTTAGAAAATCATTTCCCTCCATGTTTGCTATCTGTGCCCTACTTTGTACAGTGGATGTTTCCCCTAAAAGCTGTGGGGGGATGGATTTATATAGAGCAAATTTCATTTTTTAGTAGGAAAGCTTCCCTGTGTAAGGGAATCTTCTAGGGGCTTTTTTGGAGAAACAAAACTAAACAGATTCCTCTTGTCATTTGTTCCTTTAGGTCTTTAATTACTTATTAGTGTGATTTTTTTTTTGTACTTGCTTTTATTTAAAGTAGGGCAAACCAGTGTTAGCTTTCCTAGAATTTACTAGAACCTTACCTTCCTAATCTTTTTGAGAAATCTTTAGACTGTTATATGCTTATGAGCTATTCAATTGTATTCTAGAAACTTCACCTGACCTGACATTTTGCCAGTCCCTGGGCTCAAATTCCATCTCTATCTGATCATATAAGAACAGAGTTCCCTAATCAGTACTTATCTCTACATATGGTCTCTTTTCCAGAACATTCTTTGCCCAGTGTTCCTTCCTGTGCTCTTACTTTAGCCATCTCAGGCCTCTTTCCTAAATCACACATACCTCACTGTCCTGTGCACTTTTGGACACTGCACCTTGAGGGCCGGGCTAGTCATCCTGAGCAACATCTCCAGTTACTTCCGTGTGCCCATTTTTCTTGGATCTCTCCCGGTTTCCCTTCCCAGACTCAAAGGCATCTCTCACCAGAGACTGCTGGGATTTTCCCATCATTTCAGGAAATCAATGAACTTTCCCTTCAAAGGGCCTGAGAGGAATTGTTTTAGTCTTTGTGGGTCATCTATGGTTTTTGTGACAGATTCTTTCTTGTTGCTGATGGTTCATTCACTCGTTTTACACCCTTTGGAACATCTGAAAACCATTCTCAGCTCACAGGCCATGCAAGGCTGACCCCCGATCCACACTACCATTTTTTGACTGTCCCCATTGTGAAAAGTGGACAAGGGCTGGCATGATGGATCAGCACGTAAAGGTGTCTGCCACCAAGCCTGATGATCAATGGGATCTAAGTTTGAGTGGAACCCACGTAGTGAAAGGAGAGAACCCCTGCAAATTATCCTCGGACCTCTGTAAGCATGATATACACAGGCTCACACACACACAAATAGATAGATGTAATGCTAGAAGAAGGGTTTTTGTTTTGTTTTGTGTTTGGTTTTGTTTTTCGAGACAGGGCTTCCTCTGTAGCTTTGAGGCTTGTCCTGGAACTAGCTCTTGTAGACCAGGCTGGCCTTGAACTCACAAAGATCTGCCTGCCTCTGCCTCCAGAGTGCTAGAAGCCACCACCGCCAGGCTTCTAAGAAGGTTTTTTAGGTTGAGTCTTGTACCAGAGGCTGTCGCGCACTGCCTCACATACGCTGTACCATGAAACCAGTCTGCTCACATCAGGACACGAAGAGGTGGGGGGGGGGGCTGCATGTGACAGTCTTTCTCCATGTCCCCTGTCACTAAGTATATTGATAGAGAACACCTTATTTCCTCCTACGGATCTAGCCCGTTCATTGTGCCTCTATTTGCCCAAGGTTGGGGTAAGGTGGTAGGAACGTTTCCTTAGGTCTTTTGTCCTGTCCTTGCTCTCCCTGTCTTGGGCCACCTGGTCATATCCCACACTGCCGTCACCAGTTTAGGGTGCTGTCATTCAAAAGTCTGATAGCATACACCCTAAGAGTCCAGTTCAGTTTACAATTTCCTGGAAAAACCACCAACTTCCTGGTTCCACAGGCTTGTTTTAAAACCCAGAATACACACATATCTCTGTCCTAATACAATTGAGACCTAGCACTAGACAGCATGGAACCCCAGCAAGAAACCTATAGGGTACAGGAAGTATCTGTGCTACAGTGTCTCCAGCCTCCTGAATCCCCATCGGCTAAAGTACTTCATTGCATCCCTCCAACCGATGGGCATCCGACACATCACATCCTGTTTCCTTCACTTCGGCTACCGTGCTATCCTCCCCCTCTCTCACACTTTCAGGAACTGGAGTTCAGATTCACAGTTCTCACACTTACCGTGTGTGAATTGGGGTGTACTGCGAAAGCGTGCACCTGTGTGCGTGTTTTCTGCACCTGGCTGTGAATCACACCTGAGCACATGCACCATATATACAGCGCTCTCACTGGTCCTCTGGTCCAGGACCAGATCTAACGAGACTGGTCAAGGAAGGAAATAGTGGGGGATCCTGAGGCATCTCTCTTCCTGTCCTCTGAGAGCTTCTTCGCATTGGCTTGGGCTGGCTCCTCTCGCATGGAGGCCTTTAAAGAACTCCTCTATGTCATTCCTGGGCAGGCAGCATCCACAGAGCCAGGAAATCATTGCATGTGGACTCAGTTACTGGGACAGAAGCGTCATCTCTTCCAGCTCAACAGATGCACGTCTCTGGTCCTTTAGCTTAACTTCTGTCATTTGAGCCCAGGGATCCACTCATTTCTTGAAACCTAAATTTTCAAACATCAGACTCGAGTAATTTTCAGGGTTTCCTTTCTCAGAGTTCCCATGAAGTGGTTCATTTCTGCCTTTTCTTTAGAGTTTGCAGAGTTAGGAAGGGAAGGAAAGGAGGGCTGTGCCTTGGACCCAGAAGCAGAGCGAGGACAAGGAACAACCTGTTGTGCAGCAGCCCCCCGTAGAGTTGGGTCAAGTTAATGCTGCAGTCCGTGCTCCCGGGTCTGCTGTGCCCTGAAGACAATTCCAGGTGGGAATGTGCAGAGTGATGGGCTACACTGAAAGGCAGGACTAATGCCCACCCCCAGGGATGGGACTACGTCTTGGATTCCAACTCCAGGAGAAGCAGTAACTAGGAGAGATGGCAAACCTTGTCTTTGGAGAATTCCATCACAAACTAAAAGGGAGTCCTCTGTGGGGTGATATTACAAAGGTGGTTTCTTGTGTTTCTTTTCCTTGGTTGTTTTGTTTCTTTCAAGATTCCTTACTGGCTTGCTGCCAGCAATTGAACTGTGTTCTTTCTAGAGCTAGAGCTGTTTGTGTCTTCTGCGAATAAACTTATTCTGTTAAAACCACCTTCTGCTTCCTCCCTTGCTTGTGCTGCACGGATTAAAGCCCCAATTCAGGAGCAGGTCTAGTTCATGCTTTGGTTTTACTCGCCACACAAAAGGCACTGAACCAACCTGCTCGACCCACTCACAACATGTCAACTATGGAGACAAGTTTTGTGAAGCAGAATGTACTCAAGAAGCAGGAAAGGAGGGCAGATGTCCTCGGATGTCAAGGGCCCACTCATTGGGCATCTGGCACAAGAGGGGAGTCAACAGAAGCAGCCCTTCAGTGCTGGAAAGGCCGTTATCATCATGCGCACACAGCTAAAAGATTAGCCATAGCAGAGCTGGTAGAGACTAAACGCTCGGCTCAGCTGCATGGCCTCCAAAATCAGGGTTTTTTTTGTTCGTTTTCTGCTTCCAATCAATCCAAGGGCTTTACATTGGCTAGGCAAGGACTCTACCACTAGGCTTGAGTTCCAGACCTAAAACAGTGATTGTTATGTTCTCCATAAGCTCGAAAGTTTACTCATGTCTTCCCTCAGTTTCATGAGGGGCTCGCATACATTGCAGTCGGTGCTCACAAACCCTGAGAACACCCAACAAACAGGTGACCCACAATATCTTCCAGAAGCATGCCCAGATGGATCTACCTTAGGCCTAAGGGTATCAGGGTGGGTGGTTCATGTTCCGAGACTTGCTCTGAAGGATGCAAGTCCAGGCACTCACAGAGAGGGCAAGAGCCATAGATGTGTACAGCACTGGGGATTGGGCCGCATTCTCCCTGCTTTGTTCTCTGGCTCAATAGGGCCACGCAGCAAGGGAGACTACAGTGACTAACCAAGAGCCAAATACCCAGACCACATGTGACCCAAGTCACTTCTGCTTCTCAAAGAATGTGGTCCCACCATGCAACTGTGTAGGAACAATCAAGTCCCACCTGAAATGAACATCAGAGCCAGACATGGTGGCACAGGCCTGGAGACCCATCATTTGGGAGGCTGAGGTAGGAGGGTCCCAGGTTCAAGGCCAGATTGCATAGAGAGACCTTGTCTCCAAACAGAAAAAAAAAAGAAAGAAAGAAAGAAAGAAAGAAAGAAAGAAAGAAAGAAAGAAAGAAAGAAAGAAAGAAAAGTAAAGGAATTTTTATTACCTGGCTTATCTTTATCTTTCTTTTTTTTTTTCTTTTTCTTCTTTTGAGTTATGATCTCACTATGTAGCTGTGGCTGGCTTGAAACATACTGGGTAGATGAAGCTGGCCTCAAATTCACAGAGATCCAACTTCCTGCCTTTGCCCCCAAGTGCTGATATAAATTTGTTCTTTGTCTTTGAAGGCTGCGGCCCTTGCAGCTCCACATCTCTGTCTTTTCCAGAACCCAGTGCAAGCTTATGTCGCCTGATGCCACCAATTTGCTCTTCCTACAAGATACACCAGAACTACAAACCACTTACAAAGCCAACATGGCAAGGGAAGGGGTAGGGCTACCCTCGGCTTGAGGCTAGAAGGGCCAGCAAGATGGCTCTATGGGTAAAGGCCTGCCACCAAGCCTCATGGATGTGAATTTGATCCCTGGGACCCACATAGTGAAGGGAAAGAACTTCCCCTTGCAAGTTGTCCCCTGATAGCTGTGTATGTCCTGTAGCTTGTACACCCCAAGCATATGGACTGAGGCCTGTGCAGTTTGGGTCCTGAAGTCCTGATGAAGGTGTCAAGGGCCTGAGGAAAGGACTGAGACATAAAAACAAGTACACGGAAGATAGAGCCGCACAGGATTCTGCTACCACCTCAACCGGACTTTAAAGCGTTTATTACACACAGCACAGGGGATGGGTTGCCTAGTCTTGGTAGGAAGTCTCTGCAAACAGTTTCAGGCTTTAAACATCCCTAAGAAGGAAGCTGGAGTTGCTAGTCTTTGCACACACTGATCTATCATCCATAAACACTCATACTCAGAGTGAACCAAACAGGAAAGGCTTTGCCACTGTCATGGGGCTGAGGCCTTGGAGTCCTTGGCATGGCTTTCTGTGGCCATGATGACATTACACAGAGTTGACAAGAGTGCTTGCCTAGTATGTGCTAAACCCTGGGATTAATCCGAAGGAGAAAACAAACAAGCAAACAAACAAACAAGAAACCCTGATTTTGCCAGAGAGTGGTGATGCACACCCTTTAATTCCAGCACTCGGGAGGCAGAGGCAGGCAGATCGCTCTGGGTTCAAGGCCAGCCTGGTCTACAAGAGCTAGTGCCAGGACAGCCAGGGCAGTTAAACCCTGTCTAAAAAAAGAAGAAAGAAAGAAAGAAAGAAAGAAAGAAAGAAAGAAAGAAAGAAAGAAAGAAAGAAAGAAAGAGAAAGAGAGAAAGAAGAAAGAAAGAGAAAGAAAAAAGGAAGGAAGGAAGGAAGAAAAGAAAAAAGAAAAGAAAAGAAAAGAAAAGAAAAGAAAAGAAAAGAAAAGAAAAGAAAAGAAAAGAAACCCTGATTTTGGAGGACTTCATTCTTTCAGGACTTTCTCTGCTCTTCACATATGTACAAAACACACTAAATAAAATCTAATTTAAAACAAAAGCTTTATAGAATTGAGGTGATACAGACGAGGAGGCTGGCCTCATGACAGGTACTTCCTTAGTGGGACCTTGCAGTTCAGTTCAGCATCTGGCTTTCGCTGTGGTAGCCTCACAACTCCTGTGGCCACCACATCAGGAGTTAGTGATGCTTTTAGGGGTTCACCTTACTGAGCAATCTCACCAAAGGCAAGTCCTGGCAGAGTAATTAGGGAAGAGAAAGAATCCCCTGAGCACAGGGCATGCGTGCACTTCCAGACTAAATGGACTTATAAGCATTTCATTGGAGCCTTGCTTGCAGTTTCAGAGGATGAGTGCAGGCCCATCATGGTGGGGAGCATGGCAGCAGGCAGGGAAGTGGGGCTTACATCTTCTCTACAGCAAGAGGGAGGGAGGGAGGGAAGGAGGGAGGGAGGGAGGGAGGGAGGGAGGGAGGGAGGGAAGAAGAGAAGAGAGAGAGGGGAGAGAAAGAGATTATGAGACTGTGCCTGGTGGCTTTTGAACCATTGAAGGCTGCCCCCCAGTGACACGTCTTCTCCACAAGGCCACATTTAGTCTTTCCCAAAGAGTCCACCAACGAAACCAAACATTCAAAAACATTGGTCCGTGGGGGCCGTTCTCATCCCGAGCACTGCAGAGGGGGATCCAGGTGACAGATTATACACTCATCACAGGCATCTTTCTCCCCAGAATACCACACATCACACAATAACCAATTCCTATTATCGGAGTCTCCTCTTCACAGGTCTCATCCCGTTGACACTCCATGTCAGTTAAAGTTCATTTGATTATGTTTACAACTTTTTAAAGTTGTCGTCGACTTCTCGGGACACACACATACCAGCAACCTTCACTGGACTTGGTATTTCCCACACCCCACTAATATCCACTAGGAAATCCTTGCCAGGGGAATGGCATGGAACACAAGCAGATGGCTAGTCTACCCATTATAGAGAGCCATGAGGAAAATAGTGCTAATATCTACCAAGTGCCCGGGATGCTCTGGGCCCCACTTGCCCCTCCATTGCCTTCTTTTACTCTTTCTTCAGCACCTGTGTGACGAGCTCCTACTTACACACCAGGCACAGCACTAGGTGTCATGCCCAGTGCCGACTCTATGCCCGCTCTCATGGAGCTTGCCATCAGCTGGGCCGTCTCTGGGCCCAGAACCAACAAGCCCACATTCCCGTTATTGTAGAGCCACCACTCCAGCTCCGTTGCTCCCGTGGTCGCCTCTCCTCTCCCGGCGTTCATTCTGCAATGTTCTAAGCAAACATCCTGCTCCCCCCTTTTTTCATCAGTGCCCATTGAAACCTCAGTTCTGGCAGCTGAGAGCTTCCCTCAATACCTTTCATGACTGCCTGCCTGGCAGGCTCCCGAGGAACCCACTCCTTTTGTAGGCGTCTCCAGGGCATCCTGCCCTCCTGTGATTCTCTGTGTGTGGGGACGGAACATCCCCTGCCCATCCCCACGGCCCTTCCAGCTGTCGAATGCTGACAGGATCCACATCTTGAAGATCTAGCAGTACCACCCCCACATATCCATCCTGGGGGAATATGCATGTGGCTCCCAGAGGAACTGTCTACAGCCACATTGCATGCAATGACCCACATTGTACAATGTCCATCCAGAGCAGGGTGGAGCTAGCCATCGTGACACATCCCTGTAACCACAGAACTTGAAAGGTAGTGGTGGGGGAGGAAACTTAGGCCCGCCTAGACTGGAGAGTGAAACCCTCAATCTTGTTATTGTTGTTGTCATCTATAAAGTAGATGGGTAAGGTGGATATGGAGAAGGGCTGCAGGAGTCCCAGCAACTCTGGAGGCTGAGGAGGATTCCTGAAGCTGAGGAGTTCAAATCCAGTCTGAGCTATATATTAAGGCTCTCAAAACAAAAGAACAAAAAAATAGAATGGAAAAATTATGAGCTACTATACAAAAATCACCACAACTACAACAACACACAGCAAAATCACCACAACTGCAACAACACACAGCATATCTGAATTGTGTGAATCTAAAGCTGAGCAGGCTCAGGGTGTGGCTCAGTTTAGTAGAATGCTTGCCTGTCCTGCATGAAGCCCTGGGTTCCATCCCTAACACTGTATAAAATCAGACAAATTGGTACATGCCTGTAATCCTAGCACCCAGGAGGTGGAGGCAGGAGGATCAGAAAGTCAGGTCATCCTCAGCTGTGTAAGGAATTTTAGGCCATCCTAGAGTATGGGAGATCTTGTCTCAAAGAACAGCAAATTGGTGTGTATGTGCATGCATGTGTGTGCATGCATGTATGTGCATGCATGTGTGTATGCATGTATGTGCATGCATGTGTGTGCATGCATGTATGTGCATGCATGTGCGCATGCACAGAAGAAGCAGGGCACAAAGGAATACACAGGCTATGATTCCATTTGCATAAGGTCCAAAACCAAACAAAACTAAAAGCATTGTGTACATGAAGATA